CCTCTGCCCCCCTGCTCACCTCTGCCCCCCTCCCGCCTCAGTTTGCACCAGAGGCAGTAGCTGGCCTTCCTTCTTGTCTGAGAGGAGGATGTGTCTGCCTGGAGGGACGTGGCTTCGAGGAGCAGCGTCGTGCTATCCGTGTCCTCTGTGAGCCTCCACAGGCATCTGAGTTTGTGGTTTCTGACTCAGAGCCTCCCTTGTCCTGAAGCAAACTTCAGGCCTTTCCGGTCATTTCTAAATCTGTCTGTGGGTAGGGAAGGACAGCATGGCTGAGCACAGCCAGGACATGCCACCCCTTCCTGGGGCAGCAGTATGTCAGCTGTACCATGGCTGCCTCCCATCTATCTTGGACCGCTGGTGGCAGGACCCACGGTCGGCAGGTGCAGAGCAGGCTGCAGTTGGCCGGCAGGAGGGGAGTGGGCCTCACAGGTGGATCCGCTGAGAGCCTGGTGAGCTCCCTCCGTGCTCTCAGGCAGGCAGTACTGGCTTCTCTGGGGGCGGACACAGTACAGGACCGGCTATCACACAGGCCTGGCGTGTGCCTGCAGATGACCTCAGTGAGGGCCTGTCCAAGGTGGTGCAGCCTGGTCCCTCCTCCTAACTAGAGGGCACAGTCTCCCCACAGCTGTGTGCTGAACTGGCGAGCAGGCCTCCCTATGCAGTGCAGGGGGACCTTGCTTCCTGGGTGCTATGGTGAGGACTGGGGGGTAGGAGATTCCACCCAGCCCAAGGATTTAGCCCAAGCACACATACTTAGTAGATACTTCCTCCATCTCAACCCAGGATCTAGCTCTGAGCAGCTAGCCTAAGAGGGCCTACCCCTGAGCGTGAGGCCTGGGCGTGTCCTGGGCCCCCAGGCTCTGGGCACACTGGAGTAGGGGGCGGAGCAGGCCTGCACCTCCCTTGGGACCGCAGCTCTCCTCTGTTAAAAGGCTGGCATTCCTGGCCATGCCAAGGGCAGTGGGGCCCTCCGGCAGGAAGTCTGACACCTGTTGGATGAGGCCATGAGGCGCTCTTCCCCTCACAGCTCCTCCTCCTCCTCCTCCTGCCTCTCTCAGCCCACCCCGACTTGCGCTTCTCCCTACTCCGTCTCTCAGCTCTCGGCCCCTTTGTTCTCTGGACAAAGGGTGAAGATTACGGTCCTAAAAATGTATTCATGTATCTGAGAGATTGTTCTATCTGGGTGTCTACAGACCTGATTTCTCAGGAAACAGCTGTGTTTCCTTGGACTTGCACCGCTGTGGACACGCTTGAGGGTGGTATCTGGACACAGTCTGCCCCTCACAGGGTCATCCATGCACAGCCCCACTCCCCCACCCCCTCTGGCTTGGCGGAGCAGCCTGTAATTTAAACTCTGAAAGCTGTTAGAGCCGCTCCAGCCGTGCTGGGTGGGCCCCAGGCTGAGGCAGCAGGGCAACACGGTGGCTGCTCTTCCCGGGCTGGGGGCGGGTGCCTACGCAGGGCACTCATGCAGGGTCTTGGCCCTGAGACGACACTGAGGCTTGTGATGGTAAGAAACCAAGGACCTGAGGAGGAGTCCGGGCACGCAGCCGGACAGCCAGACAGCCCCCGGGTACGAGGAGGTGGATGGGTGCTCGAGGACCTGGGCAGCTGAGAGCACCTGAAATGCCAAAACCAAGGTCACAGCCACAGGACTGGCTGGGGTGGGAAGCAGGTTCCAGGGCCTGCCAGCCTCACGCCATTGTGTCCCTCTCTGCACCTGCAGCTCTCACACAGACACCAGGTGGCGCTGTCGTCCGTCAGTTACATCGGCTGCTCCCTGTCCGTGCTCTGCCTGGCCGCCACTCTGGTCACCTTCGCTGTGCTGTCGTGAGTCACCCCTCGCCCCCGCGCTCAGGGAGGCTGCTGGCCGCTTCCTGTAGATGTACACACCGCCCCTGCTGGACCTCCCTGGGGAGCATCCTGGCCCTGCCCAGCGTCTGCACATCCTGTGCTCTGGGGGCGGGGGCTGTTCCCTGAGCTCAGGTGCCAGGAAAGGCCATGGGGCTGCCAGGGAACCTAGAAAAACAGATGAGGCTGAGAAGATGGGGACACCATGCCTCACCAAGCTGGAAAGGTCTGGAAAGGCCTCCAGCCAGGTGATATGAGTTCTTGTGAGATCCAATTCAGGCAAAGATAGACTCAGCCATCCCTGACCATCCTGACACGGCCATCCCTGACCACCCTGCCCCTCAGTCATCCCTGACCATCCTGCCCCTCAGCCATCCCTGACCATCCTGACACGGCCATCCCTGACCACCCTGCCCCTCAGCCATCCCTGACCATCCTGCCCCTCAGCCATCCCTGACCATCCTGCCCCTCAGCCATGGCACCAGGCCTCAAGGAATGATGGTACAAGGCAGACACAGGGGGTGGGGAGAGTGGCAGTCAGTAACCAAGGAGAGCAGAGCATGAGCAGTGTTTGCACATGGCAGTCCCCTCATGTGCGCTGAGGGCTGAGCTGCTTGGAGCAGGCAGGTGAGAGCTCTCTCTAAGGCTGGCCTGAGTCTCCACACAGAGCTTTGCTGGGCAAGGGCTGCAGGTACAGGGGTTCCAGGGCTGGAGCAAGTGAGCAGGAACAGAAAGAGCCATTTGAGCATCTGGCAAGGCTGACTCCTGGGCCATTGGGGCTGTGATAGGAGCTGGGACCTGTCACTCCGGGAGAGAGTACCAGCCTTAGGTTGGGTTTTGTAAAGACCGCTCTGATTGCTCTTGGAGGAATGGGTGTTGGGACCCCGTGGAGACCCTGGACAGGGAGCCCAGCTGGGGCTGAGCAGTTGCGGCTAAGCCCAGCTGACCTGGGCCTCACACCCTGCCTTCCCTTTCCTCAGCTCCGTCAGCACTATCAGGAACCAGCGCTACCACATCCATGCCAACCTGTCGTTTGCCGTCCTGGCGGCCCAGGTCCTGCTGCTTATCAGCTTCCAGGGGCAGCCTGGCACGGTGAGTAGGTGCCCGCCCTGTCTTGCCATCATCCTCTGCCTCCTGCTGGCCTCCCCACCCCAGCTCCTCCAGAGTCATTGTCACACCTTCTGCTGGCCTCTGCAGCTCAGAGTTCAGACCAGCCTCCGAGCAGCCGTCAGTGGTCCTGCAGTCAATGGGGAGGGGAATTTGCATGTGCTGGGAGGGGCACGGGGCTCGGCAAACTGAAGCCTGGACCCTCGGAGAAGAGAGGAGTCAGGGAGGCGGAGACAGTTGCACAGCCTGCTGGAGCAGCTGGGTCTGACCTGTCTCTGCTTGGTCCCAGGTGCCCTGCCGGGCTCTCGCTATGCTTCTGCACTACTTCTTCCTGAGCACCTTCGCGTGGATGCTGGTGGAGGGGCTGCACCTCTACAGCATGGTCGTCAAGGTCTTCGGGTCAGAGGACAGCAAGCACCTCTACTACTACGGGATAGGCTGGGGTAGGTGGAGGGGCGGGGCTGGAGGACTAGGGCACCTCTGCTGTTACGGGATAGGCTGGGGTAGGTGGAGGGGTGGGGCTGGAGGACTGGGGCACCTCTGCTGTTATGGGATAGGCTGGGGTAGGTGGAGGGGCGGGGCTGGAGGACTAGGGCACCTCTGCTGTTACGGGATAGGCTGGGGTAGGTGGAGGGGCGGGGCTGGAGGACTAGGGCACCTCTGCTGTTATGGGATAGGCTGGGGTAGGTGGAGGGGCGGGGCTGGAGGACTGGGGCACCTCTGCTGTTATGGGATAGGCTGGGGTAGGTGGAGGGGCGGGGCTGGAGGACTGGGGCACCTCTGCTGTTATGGGATAGGCAGGAGATGCAGGGTAGGAGGGGGAGGCAGGCTGGGGGAGGCCAGGCATGCTCCCCATTGTTCTCCAGGGGCCCAGATGGGAAGGACACCCAGACATCACATCATCCAGAACACTTACTACGCCTCTGACCTCATTGGGCCATTTTTCTGAGAAGCAACTTTAGTTTTACCAGCTTTATAATTTTCAGTGATGTGTTTATTAATTTCAGTTTTAAACTCCACTATTTCCTCTCCTGGGCTTTTTTAAAAGCTTTTCCTCTGCTTGCTTCTCTTCCTGTGTGTTCAGAAAAAAACACAAGTTGTCGAGTTTTAGGACCGGCATATGTAGGTATGTGTTTTCTCCTCCCTCAGTTGCATCCATATGTTTTGATCTGGGGGACCTCATTTTTGTTCATTCCATGTGTTTTCTAACTTGTGACTCCTTTGACCCCTTGATCATTTATGAGTGTTTATTTCCACGCTTGTGAGTTTCTCATATTTTTACTTCTACTGATTCCTAATTCCGTTCTGTTGCAGAACAAGTTGTACGATTCCAGTCCTTTGAAGTGTATCAAGGTTTGCTTTACAGCTCAGTAAATGATGGATCCTGGGAACATTCCATCTGCCCTTGAGAAGATCGCGTGTTCTTTGGGTATTGGAAGGAGCTGGTTCACAGTGACTCAAGTCCTGTTTCTTTGTTGACTTGTCTGCTTTTTCTCTCCATGGTTGAAAGTAAGGATTGGTGTCTCCACTTTACTGCATTTCTTCAGCTATTAGGTTTTGCTCTGTGTCTCTGGGGGCTCTGTTTGGGGGTTACACATACATTTATATTTGTCTTTCTGATAAACAGATCCTTTTATATTGAGGAGGTATCTAGCTCCAGTGTTGTTCTTCATCTTGAGATCTGCTTTCCTGTAGCTGCTCGCTACAGGGTGCATCTTTTCCTCAGCAGACTGGGGCTTGAACTCAGGGCCTCTTACTTGCTAGACAAAGGCTGTACCATCCAGCCATGCCTCCAGCCTCTTTTCTGTACTTTCCACATCCATGTGTCTGTGTGTTTGCAGCTGAACCATGTCTCCTGTGGGTGGGATACAGTTGGATCTTGGTGTTCTTTCCGCCTTTCCATTGGATTGTTGAACCCTTGCACATCCACACTTTGATGTATGTAGAGACTGGCATCTGCGGCGGCTAGTTCTGTGCAGTCCTTCTGCCGTCGTGTGGGTCAAGTGATAGCTGCTGTAACACTGTAATTCCCTTTATGAACTTCTACCACTTAGCGACTGCTTTGTTGCTTACTCTACACAGCTTAGCATATTAAAACCTATTTCAGACTTACACTAAATTAAGCGAGATTTATTATTTCATTCTTTCACAGTTATAACATACTGCATCTATATGTGGTACAACTCTACAGTCTGTTGTATAACTATTACTTTACTGAATCTCACGCCTCTGAAGGAGCTGAGGTAAGAAAGGAGTCTGAGCACGAATTACCGAATCTGTCGTATTATCTTCCTATTTGCAGTTTCTGCTTCCTTCGTTCTGCCCTGTGACTTCTAGCTACTATCTGGCTTTATCACCACACTCTGGTAACACCTTGCTACTCAGCCTCCTCTGCACTGTTAATGAAGACTTTTTCCTTCTTGTTACAGGCCTAATACAACAACTATGTAAATTTCAACTTTTACTATTACTGTTTCACTCAATCATGAGAGAAGAAGGCTATGTTTTATGCTGTCTCTTATAATGCCATCATTCCCTTATTGGTGCTGAGTATATTTCCGTGTGTGTGTGTGTGTGTGTGTGTGTGTGTGTGTGTGTGTGTGTGTGTGCATATATTAGAATAACCATCAGGGCTACTTCCAGCCTGGAGAAGGTCCTGAAGTCTTCTCGTAGGGCAGGCCTAGCAGCTGCAAATTCCTTTGGGAAATGTCTCTATTTCACCTTCATTTTTAAAAGACAGTTTTGCTAGACATAGAATTCTTTTTCCTTTTGGTATTTTGCTCTCATGGACTCTAGCTCTGGAATTTTCCATGATGCCAGTTTTTAATCGGATCAGGGTTCTTGTGTGTGAAGACACATTTTTTCAGGATTCTCTTTGTCTTTAAGCATTTTATTCTCTTGTGCTCTTCCGGGGTTTGCACTCTTTTCTCTCTCCCCCCTGGCCCCTGCGAGGTTGGTGTCTGGGGGCACTCGTGTCCCTGGGGCCCACGGCTCTTGCTGCCTCTCTGGTCTCCCTTACCCCTCACCCAGGGCAGCCCATCTTCAAGCCATAGTCTTCAGCGAGGCTTTTCTTCAGTTATTACACTTTTCAGCTTGGTTCTTGCCATTTCTCTTAAGAACCTTTCCCCTCCTAATTGATAATTTCTTACTGACAAGACGCTGTCATGGTGCCTTCCTTCTGTTCTTTGCTGCAGGGCGGGTCATTCTCTCCTTCCACACTTGTAACAGTGCTTGGAAGTCTTCCATTCTTGAAGGTGGCTTTTGCTGCCTGCTTTCCTCTTTGTTCCGGCCACACTTTCTTCTTTCTTTATGTGTCTAACATCTTTTATAAACTGGCTGTTTAGATGATACATTGTAGTAATCCAAATCCTGACTTCCTCTTCCATGGCTCCTTGTTTGCTAGTTTCCTGACTTGGACTACTGGGTAAAGTCTGCTTTCGGAGTGCAGCTGTAAGCTGACTCTTCCTGCAGGGGACAGAGGTACCTGTGGGCAGTCACCTCTTGTTTGCACAGTTTGTCTGTGCCCTATGTGCTGCACAGACCATACCCTGAATGAGTGTTGAAGGAAGGGAACTCAGCCTGTCAGCTGCTCCCACCTGGATGGCCCTTCCTAGACCCAGGGGTCAGCAGAAGCCAGAGCTCTGGGGCCAGAGATTCAACAGAGGAGCCCACAGGAGTGGGTCCTCCTTCGTGGGGAGCCGGGGAGGGAGGCTCAGGTGTAGCTGGTCCTCCCTGTTCTTATCAAGATTTTCTTGAGTAAACTTCCCACAACTTTAGGGAAGCTTGTGTAATCTACTCAGACATTTGAGGGGGCCATGGGTCTGCACGGCACTCCGTCTCCGGGTGGCTGCTCATGCACATGGTTCATTGGTTGCATTGCACTTGCCCACCCTGGGAGTGGCAGCCAGCACAGGGGCCCTGCTTCCTCCCAGAGTTCTGTGCTGCACACCAGCACCTGACATTCTTAAAATGTTAGAAAACACTGGCTGGGCATTATGGACCTGTTCCTGGCTTCTGGTTTTCTCCATAGATGCAGTTTTCACAGTTCTCATTATGCAGGCAGCAGATTACACACGTTTATTTTGTGCTTTGAGTTGGCAAATATAATTTATTGAAGGATGAAGTGGAGGTAAATTATGCATCCCTCCTGGCTGCCCGAGGGACTGGAGCAGGGGACACAGAGCCACCTCTAATTGTGGTGGCCATTCCAGGGTCCTGTGCCCACCGCTCTGCTCCTGCCTGGGTCCACGTGTACACATGAACACGTTAGACACCAGCCTCGCCCATCGCTGTCCCAGTCCAGTTCTAGTGTGACCAGCCCCTTCAGTCCTCCGGCTCCCCAGAGAGCAGTATTCCTCCTTCCTGTGACCTTTGACCTCATGTAGGAACAATTTAGAAAATGGCAAGACCAACCACCTGGTTTGTCAGTGTCTCTCCCATTCTGTTGCACAGCCTGGGCTTCACAGGGCTGTTCTTAGCGAGAGAGGAGCTGTGGGTTTCCTGGGAGCTTCTCTGTGAGTGTGAGTGTATGAGGATGTGTCAGTGTGTTTCAGTGTGTATACGAGTGTGAGTGTGTGTGTGTGTGTGTGTGTGATAATAATCCACTTCAGCCTGGAGAGAGGTTTGATTTGATCTGTACAATGTTGGAAAAAAGTAATTATTTGCCAGTGTTTAAAAATTGAGGACCTTTACATACAATTTCAGTGCTCTTTTGAAAAGCGAGGAGTCCAGGTCTCCTGACCTTCACAGCACAGCTGGCACTGTGTGGGACCGATTCTGACACATGCGGTGCCCGCAGGGCTGGAGGCTGTGGCCTGACGCAGCTCTCCGCAAATAGAGCACAGGCGCTCTGCTCACCCGCAGCTCCATCCATCATCCCGTCAGCTTCCCCTTAATTAATTTCGTCAAGAGCCTGTAAAAGGCATCCTTCATCCTGACCGGGCTGGGCTGGCTGTGGGCCTAAGTAAAGACAGTCTACAGGCAACAGAGCTCTCTCAACCTCGGCCATTAATTAAGGAGCTGAAGGCTGACCCAGAGTGGGGGGCCATGCTGCAGGCAGAGCCCCTCAGCGACAGCTTCCTCCCTCAGCTCAGAAGGAGAACACGAAGCTGCCCTCCCGGGGGCGCTGGGGAGTTACTGTAGCATGGAGAAGCAGTGGGGACAAGCTGCCCTCTGCATCCTCTGGAGCCAGACCACCCAGCACTGACGCCAAGAGCCACCTTCCTAGAGCACTTCCCCAAAACCAGCAGTGCTGCTTGCCTTAGGAGTGCTTTTCTTAAATACCGGCTTTGCAGGGCCTAGGGGGTGGGAGAGAGCCAGCCCCTCCCATCCCTACTTTCAGCCCTGCAAGGGCACAGAGCTGGGGTGGGAGACTGGACTGGTGCCCCATGCCTGATGCTGTGCCTTCTGAGCAGCCCGGAGCAGATGGTCTGCAGGAACAGACCACATTCACGAGGGATCTGCTCTGAGTTCAGCTGCGGGGATGGAAGTGGACAGCTTTTCCAGAACAAGCACCGGGGATGGTCTAGCTTAGGGAGCACACAATACATTTTCCCTTTGTAGATTCATAGCCGAATTCACATATGAACCCCCTGAGCTTCAAAGTGAGATTAAAGACTAGTTCACTCTGGTCAGGCCAGAGTCTGTAAAAGCAGTTTGACCCCAGAATCCTTTCTCTGTAGCAAGACTGAGAGCTCTGGGAATTGCTGGTCGAGATGTTTTTCTACCTTGTTAAACTTCTCTTCTGCCATTGCCTCCCGGAAGTGTGACATGGCTCTATAAAACATTAAACACATTTAATTAGTCACACTCAGTTTTAAGCATCAGAAATCCAACTCAAACTGGCTTAGGTGAAAAGAGAATTTAGCAGCTTGTGCAATATAACAGGCTCGCGGTGGGGTAGGCCAGGCATGGCTCAGTGCAGTCGAGTGGCCTTCCTTGATTCCCTCACTCTCAGTGTCTTGAACTCCCTCATCCCCACTCCCATGGTACCAAGATAGCTGCAGAGTTGCCCTCCATGCCTCACATCCTTCCCAGGAGCCAGGCAGCAGGACAGCTCCTCTTTCTTGGTATTCTTAAAGAAGTTTCTGGCTGAGTCTCACTGGTGCATCCAGGTCTCATGCCCATCCTTGAGCCAATCACTGTAGCCACAGAGATTGGGGATCCAGTTTGGCAGGCATCCAGATCACATGCAGCGTGTACCCGTTATCATAAACAGAATGTCTGCAGCCACTGGCCAAGTCCCCCGGGGACCTGCTCAGCCTGGCTGAGTCCGCCCACAACAAAGACCCCTGCAGCTCCTCAGTGAGGATGTAGGCAAGTGAGAGAATAGGCATGATCTCTGCTGGGTTCCCTCAGGGTAGGAGATGTTCCGTGTCCATTGCGTATCCACAGCGCTCACAGACATCAGGTATTAAGTGAACCAGTTAAATGTTTGGCCTCTGTCTGTGCAGGGACCCCTCTTCTCATCTGCATTGTCTCCATGTCAGCAGCCACGGACAGCTACGGGAGGAACAACAAGTAAGTGGGCCTGGGCTTGCAGGCCTTGGAGGGCAGTGGGGCAGGAGGTGGGCCTTCCTGTAGCTCTTGTCCACACATGTGCATGTGGGTGTAGGTGGGCCCCTGGGGGGCGGCCTTCCTGTAGACCTCCTCTGTACATGTGCATGTGGGTATAGGTAGGCCCCTGGGGGGTGGGCCTTCCTGTAGCCCTCATCCACACATGTGCATCTGGGTGTAGGTAGGCCCCTGGGGGCGGGTCTTCCTGTACCCTTGTCCACACATGTGCATGTGGGTGTAGGTAGGCCCCTGGGGGGTGGGCCTTCCTGTAGCCCTCATCCACACATGTGCATCTGGGTGTAGGTGGGCCCCTGGGGGGCGGGTCTTCCTGTACCCTTGTCCATACATGTGCATGTGGGTGTAGGTAGGCCCC